ATGATTAGTGAACAGAATTTCTGTCAAGGTTAAAGTGTCTAAATGTTTCAACAATACGAATAAAAGAACACTGTAGGAACGACAAGTTATCAAACTATCCTGAGATAAAATCAATTCAATTTTTACATATAATAAATATTTTTCCGATAATGTCAAGTATATAGACCTCATAAAAAGATATTACTATTACGGTTGAGCGCTCGCGCGCGAAACTGATAGGTCCTGGGTTCGAATCTCGTGAGACGGGATCGTGGATGCGCATTGCTGAGGAGTCCCATAATAGGACGAAACGGCCGTCCAGTGCTTCCAGGTTTTCCATGGTGATCTAGCTTAAATTGAATTATGATCTTAACTATAAAAAATAACTAAAATTTTCACAAAACCTCCTTGTGATAATAGACCATTATTGGGTTTATACCACGTAGCTTCTCATGATCAATGGGATGGTTAAAGGCAAGTAGATCTCACAACCTATCTGCTCATACGTAAAAAAAATCATCCATTCCACAGTTAGGGTAATTAGGCAGCTCGGGTTACCGGAATATGAAAATAGCTAGACTACATTGTCTCCTATTGAACTGACATCCTTATCTATGAAAAAGAATCATAAATCTTTAAGTTAGGATTTCTTGAATACTCACCTGGTAAACATAGCAGATGAGTACACAATTTCTGGGGACTCGTCCGATTATAGGAGGACTAAATCTCACTGTTGACATCAAAAGTTCACGGGCACATTCAATACTCTATCGGTTACAATAAAGCTTCAACACACCCATCGATAGTGAATGATACTCAAATATTTTAAACAACAGACATCCTAACCAAAAACACATCATGTAGTAGGAGACTTTACACATGTGCGAGTTGAGTAGGGAGTCTACGTATATGAAGCTAGCCATAATCCTTTAGATAACACAATATAAGAAATCATTACAGTTTTATGTGATCAGACATTCTTTATAACAATTAATCACTGCTCACTATTACAGTCTATCTATTGTAAATACTGACAAAAATGACTCTATACTATCATGATTAGATCTTTTAACAAATAAACAGAGATAGATGGTAGCTAGCAGTAGAATCCAGGACGCGCGTTTCGTCCTATTTGGGACTCGTCAAGTGGATGTACTTTCAAACCCTCACCCAGCACTGTTCTCTTCAAACGTCATCGAATCATTCACAATTGATCAACCTCTTCTGGAATATGTTCATCCTTTGAGGATTGCCTCAATATCAGTTGAATTCCTAAACATCAATAGGAAGATTCAAACAAACAATAAAAATAAATTAACTTTCAGTTACTTTAAAATAGATATAGAATCTTATTAAAGAAACATTTCAGGATACAACTAAGATAATATTGATTTAATGACATTGAAAAATAATATTCAAGGATGAGTTTGAAGGAGATAGATGGAAATGTATTAAACAAGAGTTGAAAAGATGGGAAGATAAAATGTGTACACACCTAATCAGGGTATTTTATGAGTAAAAGGGGGGGGGGTGGACATTAGGAATGGAAATGCTTACGATATCTCATATTGCATGTCAACATAAACATTCCTATTTAAGTCCATCATAAAAACAACATTCTCTACGCAAGGTATACCTCACGCACTTAACTGACATATTACATTTCTTTAAATCAGCTGACAACATAAGTTGATAAACATATTTTTTTAATCGATCTGATTTATGTAAATCAGAAAATGGATTGTAAAGTAAGTATGAATAATTAAATAATATCAGAAGGGGTTTGGTGGAGATTTTAGTTCAACCAGGTCTGTTGTGAGATAGTAACTCACTGAAGAAAATGGTGGACGGTTGCTCAATTTTGTGGATTGGTTGAAGTTAGTCATTAACACCGTTGGATGCCGGAAAGCTCAGTGGTCTATCGGTTAAGTGCTCTGGAGCGAGAATGGTAGATCGTGGGTTCGAATCTCGCGAATGCGGGATCGTGGATGCGCACTGCTAGGGAGTCCCATAATAGGACGAAACGGCCGTCCAATGCTTTCGGGTTTTCCATGGTGGTCTAGCTTCAATTGGCTCATGATCTCAACTCTATAAAATTAAATAATACGTTTAACATAATCTTGGGCGTGGATCATTGCTTCATTATTTAATCGATCGTATTCTAATACTTTCCTTGACCTAATCCCCATACCTATATAACATTACTTACTTACTTACTTACTTCCTTACGCATGTTACCTCTCGTCGAGGAGCATAGGCCGCTCACCAGCATTTTCCATCCAACTCTGTCCTGAGCCTTCCTTTCCAGTTCTTTCCAGTTAACATTCATCCTTTTCACATCGGCTTCTATTTCCCGGCGTAATGCATTCTATGGCCTTCCTCTTTTCCTCTTCCCTTCCGGATTCCAAGTTAGGGATTGAGTCGTGATGCACATTGGTGATTTCCTTATTGTATGTCCGATTCACTTCCAACGTCTTTTCCTAATTTCCTCTTCAGCTGGAAGCTGGTTTGTCCTCTCCCATAAAACGCTGTTGATGATAGTATCCGGCCAATGGATGTTGAGTATTTTGCGTAGACAACTATTTATAAATACTTGTACCCTCCTGATGATGGTCGTAGTAGTTCTCCACGTTTCAGCTTCATGCATTTGAGAATCTTGCTTTTTCATTTGTGAATGTGGAGGCCTATCGATGCGGAGGCTGCTGCTACATTTGCTGTCTTCATTTGCATTGTTCGTGTGTATGAGAGAGGAGGGCTAGGTCATCTGCGAAGTCCAAATCATCTAATGGATTCTGAGCTGTCCATTGTATTCCGTATTTCCTTTCAGATGTCGAATTCTTCATAATCCAGTCAATCACTAGAAGGAAGAGGAATGGGGAGAGTAGACAGCCTTGTGTGACTCCGGTCCTTACTAGAAATGCATCTTTCAGCTGTCCTCCATGCACCACTTTGCACTGTGGTCCACCGTATGAGTTTTGGATAATGTTGACAATCTTTTCAGGAACTCCATAGTGTCGAAGAAGTTTCCATAATGTTCTTTTGTCCACGCTGTCAAACGCCTTCTCATAATCGATGGAATGGATGTATAATGATCCGTAATGTCGCAATTTGGTATGTGAACGACCGATTCCAGCCTGTTGACCTCGAAGTTGGGCGTCTACTGCGTCTTTCATACGGTTTAGCAGCACTCTGTTGAAAATGTTTCCTGGTACTGACAACAAACTAATGCTTCTGTAATTCTCATATTTGCTCAGGTCTCCTTCCTTTGGTATCTTGGTGAGGTATACTTCTTCCCAATCTGTTGGCACTTGTTCTTCCTCCCAAATCTTCTTGAATCGAAAGTGAAGCATGTTTGCAGTTACTTCAATGTTTGACTTCAGTGTTTCAGCTGGTATATTGTCAGGTCTTGCTGCTTTCCCATTCTTGATTTGTCTGATGGCCATCTTGATTTCCTCGGTCGTTGGTGGATTGACAGATATGGGAAGGTCTGTTTGTGCTGCTTCTTCACTTCCCTGTTTGCTTCTGCGTAGTCTGCTTGTGCTTTAACTTAGTCTGCTCGTGCTCGGCTGTTGTTAATTGCTAGTTTCTTGTTCTTCCTTTCTTGAATTTTGTCCAGGGTTCCCATAGAGATCCATTCCTTGTATTGATGCTTCTTAGGACCAAGAACCTCCTGACACGTTGAAGTTAGTGCTTCTTTGATCCCTTTCCAGTTGTCCTCCAAAGTAGTTTCTTGTTCTTTCAGTAGATCCTGTAGAGCTTGGAATTTGTTGTTGAGAGTTTTCTTGAATTCATGGAGCTTGTCAGCATCTTGAAGGAAGGCTGTATTGAACCTTTGTAGTGCTGTTTGTCCAGTTGTCCAGTCTTTCTTAAGCTTCAGTCTCATCTTGGCCACAACCAGGTGGTGATCTGAAGCTATGTCAGCTCCTCTCTTGGTTCTCGCATCTTCCACTGTCCTCCGTAATTTTTTGTTGATACAGATGTGATCAATTTGGTTCTCTGTGGTTTGGTCCGGTGAGATCCATGTAGCTTTGTGTATGCGTTTGTGTGGGAATATTGCGCCGCCTATAATCAATTTGTTGAATGCACATAGGTTTGCAAGTCTCTCCCCATTTTCATTTCTTTCTCCTAATCCATGTCGTCCAATCATATCTTCACATCCTGTGTTGTCCACTCCAACTTTAGCATTTAGATCTCCCATCAGGATGGTGAGGTCCTTTCGTGGGCACTTTGCTACAATTGATTGCAGCCTTTCATAGAACTGATCTTTATCATCGTCGTTGCTATCATTGGTGGGTGCATAACATTGGATAACGTTCATTGTGATCCCTTGCTTCTTTGTTCTGAATGATGCTTTGATTATCCTGGGTCCATGAGATTCCCATCCCACAAGTGCATTTCGTGCTTCTTTGGACAGCATTAGAGCAACTCCCTGAATGTGTGGAGCATTTTCCCCTTCGTGACCGGAGTACAGCAGCATCTCTCCTGTACCTAGCCTTTGTTGTCCAGTTTGTGTCCAATGGGTTTCGCTGATTCCGAGTACTGCCCAGTTGCATCTCCTCATTTCCATTGCTATTTGGCTGGTCTTTCCTATCTCCCACATTGTCCGGACGTTCCATGTACCTGTGAAGAGTGTTGCACTGGTTGTTAGAAGGTGTATCGGTCTCGTGACATGTATCGATTTATCTTCCTGAAGGTGAGTGTTGTCAACATTTTTATGATTCTTTTTTGACAGCTTCCATTTCATATTCTTACTTAAACATCAATACAAAAATCAGTATTCTTTAGAAATAATCAGCTGTTCTATAACTGACACAGTTCAGTGTTATACATTAAAAGAATGGGAGTATGTTTTGTAACCGTATGAATGACTCCTTAACCTGTTGGTTCTTTAATTTTATATATTAGTAATAACTTAGTTACCTTCAAGAGTTGATAAATCTTGTTTTTTTATTCTTTATTTCGCTGATTTCTATCAATTTTAATAACTTCAATAGCTTAATATCGGTAGGTTTTTCATAACTTTATTGAAATATACTCTGTCCATCATCATCATCATCATCATCATCATCATCATCATCATCATCATCATCATCATCATCATCATCATCATCATCATCATCATCATCATCATCATCATCATCATCATCATCATCATCATCATCATCATCATCATCATCATCATCATCATCATCATCATCATCATCATCATCATCATCATCATCATCATCATCATCATCATCATCATCATCATCATCATCATCATCATCATCATCATCATCATCATCATCATCATCATCATCATCATCATCATCATCATCATCATCATCATCATCATCATCATCATCATCATCATCATCATCATCATCATCATCATCATCATCATCATCATCATCATCATCATCATCATCATCATCATCATCATCATCATCATCATCATCATCATCATCATCATCATCATCATCATCATCATCATCATCATCATCATCATCATCATCATCATCATCATCATCATCATCATCATCATCATCATCATCATCATCATCATCATCATCATCATCATCATCATCATCATCATCATCATCATCATCATCATCATCATCATCATCATCATCATCATCATCATCATCATCATCATCATCATCATCATCATCATCATCATCATCATCATCATCATCATCATCATCATCATCATCATCATCATCATCATCATCATCAATGAATTCAACATTTAGTGACCCAACTGTTGGATGATTTGGCTAGAGTTTAGTGACATTTCACTAGCCCTACAGTACCTATCATTAAATATATTTATTTTAATTAAGTATTGTGATAAACAACATTTTCTTGAAAAAATGTTACCATGATGGATAATCTCAAATGACCTTGAAAAAATGTTCTATTTTAATAGTAAACATTTTGTTTATTTATATTGTTCATTAAAGAAAGATGACCACTTCAAGGTCATTAGAATATTAAAAAAACAAACAAACAACAATAACAATAAAAACAATACAAACTATTGAGAATCATAGAATATACTTAATTTCTAATCCATTTTTTTAACATATTGGGTGTGGTCAATTGATTAATTCAGATAAATTCAAAGACAGTGAGTGAGTGAATGAGTGGATGGAAAGCAAAGAGAGAGAGGTAGAGAGAGAGAGAGATAGAGAAAGGGAGTTGAAACGTGATCCGGTCTTCATTACTACATGTATGAACAGCGCATTATTATTATTATTATTATTATTATTATTATTATTATTATTATTATTATTAGTAGTAGTAGTAGTAGTAGTAGTAGTAGTAGTAGTAGTAGTAGTAGTAGTAGTAAAAGGTATAGATTACAGTATACACTTAGCGATACACAAACAATAATACTCAAGAAAGTTAATTAAATGTGAAAAATTAATAAAATTTTATTTAATTAAAAGTAACTACTAAGAAAAAAATATTTTCAAAAAGGGTGGGTTGCGGAGATTAAAGTGATTTTATATAGTTGAGATCATGAGTCAATTGAAACTAGACCACCATGAAAAACCTGGAAACACTGGACGGCTGTTTCGTCCTATTGTTGGACTCCTAAACAGTGTGGATCCACGATCCCGCCTCACGAGATTCGAACCCGGGACCTGCCAGTTTCGCGAACTGCTGAGGAGTCCCACAATGGGACGAAACTGACTACCAGTTCTTCCAGGTTTTTCATGGTGGTCTACCATCATTTGACTAATGATCTCATTTGCATACAGTCGAATGTAATTAACAGAAAATTTACAGACTATCTTTTTAAAATGTGATAACCATACAGTAAATAGTTAATTTACAAACTATCAATCACTTGTCACAATCTTGACCATTCCTTTTGCAAATATCAGCCCGTAGTCTCCGATTATTATTGTTCATATATTTTCATAACAATTGCCCCTGTTCTCGTTCTATTATTTTCGATCTTCTACTGAAATACATTCTATGTCTAACTGTTACGTCTGCCGTTTGTGAACGTTATGTTTGCTTCCCTAAGCTAGTTTCCGATCCCCGAGCTAGAACTATACAGCAAACTCGAAGACCAGAGAGAAGACACGAGTATCAGAGAAGCACTTTACTACAAGGTTCATTTATGTACAGAAAAACAGGGGTTTTATAGTAATTTAAAAGACCTTGAGATTACATAGTAGCAGTATGTTAAACAGCCAATCAGGACCTCGTTATTTTAGTAGCATAGCTTCTAACTAATCGCTGATTGTTTGGGCTCTTTATGAGCCTCTGGAGAATCTGATAGAGTTTACTGTAAGCCGACTTAACACCTCCCCTTTTTTTGAAGATTCGAAGATTAGAGTCTGATTTTTAAAAAAAAAAAATAATCCGTAATTTGAAAATTCTCCAACATTTTCCTCCCCCACGAAATAATGTTGGATCTTCATATCTCCAATTTACAATTAATATGACTTCATTTAGAACACATTTCTCGTATTGAATGCAGAATCCACTAGAAATGAATAGATGATGATGAACGATATTTGATTTTAGGTCATCGGAATTTGGCTTTTCTGAAACATCTCCATCAAATTCACTAAGATTTTCACTGGAGGATATTTGATAGCTAGGGGAATCATCATCTAATGAAATTGCCTTAGGTTTTTGATCATCATTTGATTCAACCGACTTATTTTGCTCATCTTCATAAGAATTTTCATCAAAGTTATGTGCACCATTCCAGCTTTCTTGGCCGATATCATGTAACCCGTAGTTTAGTTCTGACTGAAGTTTGTCTTCAGAGATCGGTGGATTCAATGGTGCTTCATTTGACTCTGGGCTCGGGGCTTTGTCTACGGAACCTTCTTTTTCTTTGATATCTGATACTGTCACAGTTTCATGTGCATTTAGTAAGATATTGTCTTGCTCTGAACCGGCCAACTTACCCATTTTGCCTTTTTCATCAGATATGAAGGGAATTGAACCCTCAACTTGGCGTTCTTCTGAGACGGCCATTTCCGCACCATTATCTGCATTATAAATAATTTCTTTATTTCCTGAGACGTTTTGTTTAGTGAAAAATTTGTTCAAAAATATTTCAAATAGTTTCTGCTGGAAGTTTAACATCTGCTGATGCTGGTGCTCTAATATTATCTGCAACTGTTCCAGAGAAATCGTCATTTTTTCTACTGCTAATAATAATAATAATTCCGAAAACCGCCGGCAATTATTACAGCTTATTTAATTCCAAAATACGTCACCGACTGCTGTATTTTGTTTGCCAAAATCACGTCCCAATTCTTGTATTTTTTTTTACCGAAATCCTCGTCGCCAATTTGTTATGTTTTTGACCTAGGCGGTAGCCAATTGTTATGACTTGATCAAGGTCGTCGCTGATTCGTTATGACCTTACGAATTTAACAAAGACGTAATTCGCGTAAATTATCCACCAATAGAATACGCCTTCTACGACCTTCACACTGTGACAATGACGTTCGATTAGTATGAGTAATCTAGCGTCCTTATTGGTCTTTATCCACCATTATATACTACTTATGTTGATATAAGTAACCCATACCACAATGTTAACTGTGATTTCTGGAAAACTCAAGCTAAAATCCTGTACTTAAAAAGATATTTATAATATTTGTATGAATTAATGAATCTTTTGTACTTGATTCCTTGTTTATTACGAATTCTAAATACGATATGTTCGTTTATGTTCATCTAGTTTTGTTTGATTAAAACTGCATTATTATGAAAATTCCTAATTAGTGAGTACAATAATTCCAATTCCGCCTGCAGTTTTTCTAGAATTACTCCCAGTCCTAAGCCCGGGTAATGGAGAAGAATTGAGCATGGAGTTAGCAACCCCATCCAGTAGAAAACTAACTCGCTAAAAAAAACCCTAACCAGAAAAGTGGTTACAATGAGATTTATGTATCAAACATGCCATACTACGAGAAAGACATTTCAGTCAGCAGAAATCAATAAAATAGTTTCATAGGTCAAATCAAATAAGATCCAATCTTCTTTGAAAATATATTTCTGAAGAAATTCAGGACATTCTTAAGTTATTTTGATATACAACCAGATTTTTTAAATATCGAATATTTCTATTTGAATTTCTCTTGAATTTGATCAACACTAAGGAATAGACAAACAAAGTATTGAATTTGTTATAACTTGTGGCCTGCATACCTTGTTAATCGATTGGACCAATGACGTATAAAACTCATGCCAGGAGTCTACAGTACTTATCAGTCCTGCTTCTAACATAGCCCAGTCAGTTAAGTCCAGAACACCAATAACAGCCTCCGCAGTATGAATCATTTATTTCAAACATACTGAGTTTATATACCAACCAGACAGACCATATCGTACCATAAAATAGGAAAACAACATTTGTACAAGATTTAGCCAAATGTGTCTGTGAATGTGGGAGACAGTAATTGATAAACAGGGCATAACTCCAGAATGGCAAATCGTATAGTAATAGTCTATGGGTCAAAATAAAGCTTATAATAAGAGGAACATGAATATGAATAGTTTAGTTGCTTAACAATTATACGAAAAAAATATACACGTTGTATTCGTCCATTAATAGTTCTCAAAAGGTACCACTCATAATTCTCTTCGAGATATAAGAGACTTCTGATCAACCATCAATTGTTGTTGCAGTGAAGTTGCTCTCTAGCAGTAGTAACTATAAATGCAAGAACATTTCGTCATAAGCTTCATCAAACCGAATAGAAACACTTATCTACAATTTTCTAAAGTTTACTTAATTAGGAATAAAAACATTTACACTGTCATCACTAAAATTGATAATAAACAAAAATATTTTATATATAGTTGAGATCATGAGTCAATTGAATCTAGACCACCATGGAAAACCTGGAAGAACTGAACGGCCGTTTCGTTCTATTATGGGACTCCTTAGCAGTGCTCATCGACGATCCCGCCTCACGAGATTCGAACCCAGGACCTACCAGTCTCGCGCGCGAGCACTTAACCGATAGACCACTGAGCCGGCCGGCATCCAACGGTGTTAATGTCTAACTTCAACCAATCCACGAAGTTGAGCAACCATTTCACCAATGTCTTCAGTAAGTTTTTAAATTAAATTATAGCCGACTTTTCGCGAACTAAGTGTTATTATTAAACTACAAGACAACGTTGGATATAAATATTCCTTTCCTTCTAAACATTTTGAAGTTCATTAAACTGTAAATCATAATCCTTATTTTTTAAACTGCTTTATAACTCTCAGTTAGTTCTAGTTAGGAGGTGGACATTCTCAAAGTCACTTTAGTGTCGCTCAAAGGTCGTCCAAAAAGTAGTCTCGCCAGCCTAAGATGTATAAGAAGTGAGCCGATATGTTCACGCGTACCGGGGAACCCAATGCAAACGAGGGCTTAATCGAGATATCTTACAAACACATGTAGTCTATCCGTCATGTATGTTATAGAGAGAAGGCTGTTCCATATTTGTGCATACTTAATTAGGCAGATGTTTCTAGAGACCTGAACTAAGATTGAACTTGAACCCCACTTTAACACAGTCGTCTTAGTCCAACGTTATGCCATCGGAAGAATAACCGTTAGCCGAATCATCGAGGAAATTAACAAATATTGTTGGTTGCGCAGCTGCTCATCGGGGATTTTCGTTCAACGATCAATATACTGATGATTGTAAAATCATAAATAAATTGACTGCCGTTATCTAGGCTTCAGAATGAAAGAGATTATGTAAGGTGGAATATACTAAAGAGCCTTATCACCTAGAGCTGGAGCGATACATAGTACGCAATGTGCATTTGTGGAGTG